TGCATTATAGCGGAAGTAACATTTGTTTATGCAAATGTTACAGTATAGTCCTGCAACACTGGATTCCAGACAGGCGGGCTTTCGTGGTCATGAAAAAAAAAACGAAACCCTGAGTCAAACATCCACATGCTTTTTCTTTGTGCAAAAAAAGAAATTGCAGTAAAATCACTATATTGGTTGAAAATAATTGCAAATTATTCCTAATAACACATATGTACATGCAGTCTTTGATTCATTCATTCTGAATTGAAAGAGCTTCCTGGATGGGAAGGAAAACCTCTTCAAACTTGGAAAACAAAGTCCAGTAGTTTGTTTTTCACTTTTTGCAATGCAGTCATTGATTCCAGGCTGTAAAATGGAGAAAGTATGTCCATTTAATAATCCAAACAACATGGACACCTAAAAAGCTTTGAGGTCCAGCTGGTTAGGAATTAAATGGGAGGTTTGAAATATGTTCAGCTGTTTATTGCCTTAACCAGTATTAACCTGTTTGTCTGACCTGTTGTCTGTTCCACCCTCCCAGTGTGTTGCAGGGTGATTCATAATGGCGGAGCAGCCTCTGTGGGAGCAGATAGGATCCAGCTTCGTGCAGCACTACTACCAGATGTTTGACTCGGACAGATCGCTGCTCGGATCAATATATGTGAGTCCAGCTGAGGTTCTGATCTCATAAGTTACAATCATGCTTTGTAAAGCCAGGTACTGCAATGCTTCCCAAACTTTTTTAGCTCCTCACCCTGTTCTGTGTCCCAATCGGGTCGACGCATGCCGTCCCCACCATCATCATACAAAACGCTATTTAAAAAGGTTTTTTATAGCCATGTTAAAGGTGCCATGTTTAACCAAGCTCAAATAACTATAACACACATAACACAATTAAAATAAAAAAAAAACTGCAGTTAAAATAATACAACCCCGTTATTATAACTCATATTCTGGAAACAAAATCAGACCTGAATTTGAATTAAATTGCAATAAAGTTATACACAACATCCACAACAGGCTCCTGCGGATTTTTTTCCCTGCCAGTTTTCAATGTTTGATAACCGATAATCTTTTAACATTTAAGGGCTGGGAAATTTAGCCATTTTATTGGTTAATCACAACACTTTGTTTGGAGATTTTTATTTTATTTATTTAATGTGGGAAAATTTAGATTTTTCAATCCACTCCTTGGGCTATTATGGCTCAGAGTGACATTATTTCATCCATTTCTACTCTTTTCTCCTCGTAACTGATTAACTAGCTCCCCATGTAGCACTGCTAGGAGCAAAGTTTCTAGTGTTTTCTATTTTTATTATTTGTATTGATTATTTTACATGTGTCAGAGCATAAATTGTGTTGTCCTTTAAATTGACAAAAACTGTTTCAATAACCAATGCCATAAAGTTACCTAACACACCAGATTCCTGCAGTAAAGCTAACTTTGTCCTGTCACTCCTCACAGATCGATACATCATGCCTTACATGGGAAGGACAGCCCTACCAGGGAAAAATAGCAATTGTCGAAAAGCTCACTGTAAGTTTTCATGGTAACTTAATCTATATACTGCTGTAAATTTTTCATTGTTTGATGTATTGCCAGAACACTGCAGTTTTTACTGTTTTTTTTTTTTGTTTGTTTGTTTTTTTTTTCAGTGCAATGTGGCGGTGGAATGCTATAGATTACTGGAGTTTTTTTTAATGATTTTTTTAGAAAAAGCTAAATCGAATTCTGAGGAAAATTGAGTCATTAATTTTATGCTGTTTCAGAATATGAATTCAGCTTTATTTGTTGAACAAGATGCAGTCAGAATTTAAAACAGGTTATATAGTGTTTCACTAGTTGCAATGCTTTCCTTAACATAAAGACAGTTTATAGTGCAGAAGATAACAAGTGATCATAATCACAAATTGCTCTTCAGATTAGCCAAAAAGCTTCACATGGTGGAAGCTTATTTAAGAGACCAAATGATTTGTGTTAAATAAAATACTAAAGAAAAACTGTTAAGGATCCATTGTTCTAGTGCAAGGAGGCTAATCTAACCTAGACAGCTGGGATGTTCATTAACTCAGACCTCCCTGTAACAATAATTGTCATCCAACAACCGGGATTAATTGATGACCCCAGTTAAGTTTTAATGTATGTAGTCACATTTTAAAATAGTGCTGCAAATTTTATTTACAAGAAAGCTAACCTTGTCCAGAGGTAGGATTATTTCTCTGCGCTCTGGTAGTGTGGTCACACAGTTCCACACTTTGTATTCCGGATTCTTGTTGGAAGAAATTAAGCAGCCGTGTTTTGTTAGTATCCTAGCAGTCAGCTTCTGTAAGAGGAGGGGATCTTATCAGTGCTGTGATGACAAATAATCCCACGAAGTTCTCAGAACGACATGTGAACCTCATCCAACATCTCTCTGTGACATTTGTGCATCTTCTCTGTGCATTTTTAACAGAGATGAAACTATATATATACTATATATATAGTTTCATCTATCATTTCAACTATATATATATATATATATATATATATATACACAATATTTTTTCCATTTTAGGCAATTGATCAGGTCTTAAGCATAGGGTGACCAGATATGCAAGACTGGTATTTTTTTCACTTGTCCGCTGTTCACAAATTTAAACATTATTTAGGTCCCCAGCATGACCATGCCTTTGCTCAGTGCCTATAGAACAGAACAGGTAAAGGATTTAGATACAAAATAGGACGGAGACACTGTTAAAGAAAAGAAAACAGGTGAGATCAGTGGAGATGATTCTCAGAGCTTTTTGTAAAGTTTGTCAAAGTTATTTTTCCATTTGATACAATGGGAGCTCGATGTAAACAACACTGTAAAAGGGAGTCAAAAAATACACTGAAAAAGCCACACCTATCCTGCATTATCCCACAGTTCTTATTCAATCCACTCACCCTACTTCAGCACCTCTTTTCACCCCAGTCTCATCTAACTCATATGTTCACCTCTTATCTGCCCCTTTCTCAGTTTTTAATAAGCAAGCTCATTTAGGAAGTGATCGTTGTTTTCCTTTATGCCTACTTTAATCCCACCCTTGTTTATTTTAATTTTTTTCTTTGTGTTTCTCCCAGAGTCTCCCTTTCACAAAAATAGCGCATAGTATAACAGCGCAAGACCACCAGCCGACTCCAGACAACTGCATCTTGAGTATGGTTGTAGGACAGCTAAAAGTAAGTATCCCTTTCACTGTCATTCAAACATGGGAGTGTGGGCGGGGGTTTTGTTGACAACACAACTTGAAGTCTGAAGCTCAAAAGCTGGTTTCTCTAACAGTTCATCTGCTGTGTCTCTACAGGCAGATGAAGACCCGATCATGGGTTTCCATCAGAGTTTCATCCTGAAGAACATTAACGATGCTTGGGTGTGCACCAATGACATGTTCAGGCTGGCCATCCACAACTTTGGTTAAGCTGCCTGTCTGCGTCGGCGGGCAGGGGCGGCCACAGCGAAGGGGTCGCCGTGAGACGAGGCGTTGGAGGGAGGAGAAGAACTCCTCCCTCCCGCCGTCTCATTTAGGCCTGTTTGACAAACAAGCAAATAGCGGATTCTAGATGTCAATCACTGAACCCCATCCAGGTGGGTTTCTTTTCCTCCGACCAGTCCAGCAAAGAACTGCGACACGTCTCTTCGCTGAGAGCCGGCTGACCAATCAGATGCCCCTGTCTGCCGCTCCGCTGCTCTGCATGTCGCTGGGGGTTCCTCAGTACAATATCTACACTCAAGCCACCAGAAGGACAAACATCCGATCGATGCCATTAATTCATGCTCCTGTTTGCTCTGCTTTAATTCTAACCCGTTCTGCTCTGATGTTGACTCGGTTCTGCTAGCACTGCTGCTGACTGGTCTGTAGATCCATGTTCTGGTTCAGATTCACTGTGTTATTTGTTTTACAGTAGCTCTGCTTAGTGCGTTGAGTTTAGTTTTCTTCCTCTTTAGGCTTGACTCATGCTCTGATGCCAGGTTTAGCTGTTGCAAACCAAAGGGTGCTGGAGGACAAACGCTCACCTTGTCATTTTTTTCTTTCTACCTTTCACACATCTGGAGGTTAACAAGGACTACAGCCAAGATACACAATAAAACCTGGACTTTTTTTCTTAACTGTGTGGTCTCTCAATGTCATTTTCTGGAAACAACAGCTTTTCAATTTGAAACATTCAGTCAGTGCACTGAAGTAATGTTGCTTTATTTGGTTGGCTTCATGCACTTATTTGTTTTCTTTGGCCAAATGTGGCCAATAAAGGGTTTCAAATTCCCGTTTCAGATGTCATAGCATTGAGGTTGAAAAATGTTTAATGTTTTTAATTAGGCAGGGCTGGGATGAAGTGCTTACCATGGTAAAACAAGTTAAAACGTTCAAGCATCAAAGTAAACCAATCTCCTTTCTTCAGAAATAATGTAATACAATCATCAGTTAACATGCATCAATGAAGAGCCTGATTTATGTTTTTCCTTTGGTCAGTTTTGACTGATAGGTGAACAGATTGAACATTTTTCCCTCCAAACTAAATCAAAAAATGAAGAGCTCCAACTGTATTTAGGCTTTAAATCCACTAACAGTTGGATTTTTATTTAATGGTTCTAGTTTAATAATCAAATAAAGGTTAGGGACCTATGAAATCAGTTAACTTTGGGGATCCTGCACTCCTCACATAAAAGTTAAACTTGTTTAATTTCACGTTGTACAGAACTCAATACATTAGCAAAAACCTGCTCTAGTTTTTTTTTTTTTTTGTACCTTCTTTGGCATCTAGCATTTTAATCTTTAAAAAATGTCAATCTTCTGATCCTTGTGTTAAATAATTTGAAGCTTTTTCAATCCCATTCTTCATTCATGCTGGTGTTTTTGGGCAAAACTGATAAAAGGCCCTTTCCCTCTGAGGGGATTTTATCTGGATGCCTCAGGGGACTGATGGAAGCCATTAACTTTTCTTTCTGTAAAAGCATGTTCCTCTTGCCTTCAACCAGTCATCCTTTTTCATTTTGATTTTGTTTTAGATATTTTTCTTTGACATACAGTGGCTACGTAAACTATTCAGACCCCTTTAAAATTTTTACTCTTTGATCATTGCAGCCATTTGTTAAAATCAAAAAAGGTCATTTTATTTCTCATTCACTCAAAGTCAGTACCCCATCAAGACAAAAAAAAAAAAAAACAAATATAGAAATTTTAGCTAATTTATTAAAAAAGAAAAACTGAAATATCACATTGTCATAAGTGTTCACACTCTGCTGTGACACTCATTTAACTAACATGCTGTCCATTTCTTCTGTTCCTCAATGAGAAGGTTCAGCTCCTTTATTCTAAGGTTTTATGGCGGTTGGCCAGCTAGTTAAAATGCATTACTGCCATCAACTGATGAGTGAAACAGGAAACGATTTGGGTCTTTCTGACAGGGATGGGATTCTTTTTGCAGTTATAGCGTAAGCTCACCTTTCGTACCACTTTACATCTTTTGCTCACTTCACACCCGCAACATGCAACAGTATGTTCTTAACCACAGTTACGGTATTTAATTTGAACTTCTTTCCCACACTTTCCATATTCATGCTCTCCATGCACACCTTCCACACTGTTTTCCCCTACATACAGCTGCTATAAACATCTCAGAGGCAGAGGATTGAACATTTTCACATTGTAGCTCATAACCAATGAAAGCCTTGCTAGAAAAGTCTCCTCTTCGAATTTTATCAACACTGATAAGCCGCCCATCACACCTCCATTTCCTGTTTTTAACCTTTTCACCTCTTTTGCACCACTTATATTTGTCAGTTACTTTTAGAGGCACTCCTCCGATCACACCCCTGCTAATCCTTGTGTTCTCAACCAAGCTGCATTGAACCCTTCCCCTCAATCATGTTTATGCATATGGCTTTGCCTTGTTGAGCCTGTCTCTGCAGTTAATTAACAGGTCTCCACTATAAAGTATTTTGGCACTTTTGAATTCTATTGATTTTGTTAACTACACCTGATTTCAATCTGCAAAAGAGTCTCCCTGATTAACTAATTTGAGCATTATTTTGTACCGGTAATTATTTGTTTTTTTCTGCAGAATTTCTAGATTGTTGTGTGCTGGACTCCCCTTCAATTGGTCTCTACTTTTTCTGCTTTTTCTCATTTGTTTATTCTCTTCTTTTTCAGTCTTCTTTACTTTCACTATTTCCTTCTTCCATCCCACGAGAATCGCTTTCTGTTTTCTCACTACTCATGACCGAGGACATTTCTCCACAGGCGACTTAGTAACACTCGTCCTGTCCAGGAATGCTCCTTCATTGGGAGTCAAGCTGTGTTTAATAAAACTGATTGGACTTGATTAGGAAAGGCACACATCTGTCTATATAAGACCTTCAGCTCATGGGGCATGTCAGAGCAAAGAATCATGAGGTCGAAGGAACTGCCCAAAGAGCTCAGAGACAGAACTGTGGCAAGTCAAACATCTGGACAAATTACAAAAGAGTTTCTGCAGCACTTGAGATTCCTAAGATTACGGTGGTCTCCATAATCCTTAAAGGGAAGAAGGAACGACCAGAACTCTTCCTAGACCTGGCAGTCCAGCCAAACTGAGCAATCATGGGAGAAGAGCGTTGGTGAGAGAGATAAAGAAAAACCCAAAGATCACTGTGACTGAGCTCCAGAGATGCAGTAGGGAGATGGGAGAAAGTTCCGCAAAGTCAACTACCACTGCATCCCTCCACCAGTTGGGGTTTTATGGCAGACTGGCCTGACAGAAGCCTCTCCTCAGTGCAAGACATATGAAAGCCTATATAGAGTTTGCCAAAAAACACATGGACTCCCAGACTGTGAGAAAGATTATCTTCTCTGATGAGACCAAGATAGATTTTTTTGGCGTTAATTCTAAGCGGTATGTGTGGAGAAAACCAGCCACTGCTCATAACCTGCCCAATACAATCCCAACAGTGAAACGTGGTGGTGGCAGCATCAGCTGCAGGGACAGGACGACTGGTTGCAATTGAAGGAAAGATGAGTGCGGCAAAGTACAGAGATATCCTGGAAGAAAACCTCTTCCAGAGTGCTCAGGATCTCAGAATGGACTGAAGGTTCACCTTCCTACAAGACAATGACCCTATGGCTTGGGAACAACTCTGTGACCATGTGTGACTGGCCAAGCCAGAGCCCTGACCTGAACCCAAAATTGATGATACAGCTCCCCTAAGGTCCTGCATCACTCTAAAAGAACTTAGAAATGTGTTGTTTTTTTGGGAAAAAAAAAAAAAGTGCAATGGTTTATTCATGAGAGCTGTACACAAATTCTTTGCTTGCGGGTCTGGCAAGGGTTGAAAGCTTTTGGCCAAAATGAAATTTTTCTCTTTTTTTTTTTCTTCTTTTCCATTGTGACAATATGTAGAGGGCTGATGTTCAAGTCTTTGGTTGCTTCATCAAGGTTTTGAGTCAGGATCTACCAAAAGTTGAGTTCAAGTATTTCAATGTATAGTCATGATAAAACAGAATAGACTAACATGAGTTTTATCTGCTGCAATATTGATGTTGCTGTGCTGTGATCAAGGAAAGGCTCAGCCAAATGAATAAATAAATGCAAATAAATTCACCCGGAGTTCAGTTTTAACATCAATAATTCATGAGATATGATTCAAAGTATGAGATCCTGTATACAGGCATCTCAGATTAGCCTTGTTTGTAGGGCCTCTGTAGATAAAATTATCTTAAATCTGACTGCGTAAACAAAAGCTGTTTTGAACAGGACTGTACAGTAGAAGGCGCTATTTTTTCTAGTGAGTTTGTCCAACAGAGTTTGAGGTAGGAACCAATGAGTGCAGACACCCTGTGAGCAGTCGGAACAGAGGCACGGACATACCGGAAGTTTAGACGGTTGCTCTGGGTGAACTGTGACAGCATCGCATCAAATTAAAACAATATTTCCCCAATTTTTTTTCCCATATCGCTCCCCTTTCCCTCACCCATGGCGTCCAATTCGAACATAGACATCGAGGGAGCGACCCAGCACCTCCGAGACATCTTGAAACTCGACCGCTCGGGTAGCAGCGCCGGTAAGTCTGGGACTGCTGCACTGCTAGGCCGCAAAAGCTAAAGGGGGTTAGACCCAAGAGTTCACCGGTGTAGAGTGTTCTCAAAAGCATTTTTTTTAGCCGTTGACAGAACACCACGCCAGGAGGGACATATTTTATACAGTGGATATATTATATAATGTTTTAACCTTTGAAGAATGCGGAGAATCGTTTCTGCGTCGGCCTTACTGCTAGCAGCTAGCTTATGCTAGTCTGTTTTCTGATGGCAATGGGTCCCTGCTGCCAAAACATGTATGTAGTTGAATTTTTTTAAATCTAATTTTGAACATTTGTTAGAAATCTTCTCTGCAGTGTAGACCCGAATCTGTAAATTGTTATAACAGCTTAAACAGTTACATTAGTATAAACGGTAACTTTTTATTTGAAAGGGCTTTAATTTTTTATTTTTATTTTTTTGTACTGGACATCAGTCAGTTTCCCTTGAATGATGTCAGGGGATCACTCAGAGGAAACTTGAATTATCCCCTGAAATTGAATTATTAAACATAATTAAGTATGTTAAGTCTTGAAACACATTAAAGTACTTTAGATTTTTTACAAATATTTAAGATAACATGGTATTAATTGTATTTTATGTTCCCATTCCCTAAAGATGATCAAATTCGTTCAATCTGTCACATAAAAAAAATCTTAAAACTAAAATTTTTTTATTGAGTTGTAAACACAATCTCACACAAATAATTGTGTTAACCTTGAAAATGCTCCTTAATCTTCTGAAAGTAAGAGACAAAGTAGTTATTTATTCAAATGTAACACGTTTCTGTTAATACAAGCAGTATTTAAATTTTAAACAATGTCTGGAAAGCAAAGACTACATTGAATAGAAATTAAATACTAATAAAAATGTAGGGAAAACATTTGGAGGACAAATTTAACTCTTGCATTAAGATAACTAAAATGTAAAATGTCACATTAAACAATGAATCCCTGTGTTTTAAATTCTGTCGTATTATGGTAGAGCTATTGTATTATCCTTTACATTAATTTATACAAAAGCTAAATATAGTTATCAAGTTTGAGTCCCTCTTATTAGGTGCTCATAGATCACTTAAATCTTAGGTGTTTGCAAAAAGAATCAAGCATTGTAATTCCCAGAATTAGAAGGGAAATATAATACCTAAACCAATAAAAAACAAACTATGATTTATATCTAAAAAATATAGTATCTAGTATGTTCAGTGAGGGAAATAAGTATTTAAACACACTGTTATTTTTGCAAGTTTTCCCACTTAGAAATCATGGAGGGGTCTGAAATTGTCGTCATAGGTTCATGTCCACTGTGAGAGACATAATCTAAACAATCCAGAAATCACAATGTATGACTTTTTATAACTATTTGTACGATAACGGTAACCTTGGAAATGGTGGTCCCAGCTCTTTTCAGCTCCTCCTGTGTAGTTCTGGCTGATTTCTCACCTTTCTTAGGATCATTGAGACCCCACAGAGTGAGATATTGCATGGAGCCCCAGTGAAAAGGAGATTGTCATGTTTAGCTTCTTCCATTTTCTACTGATTCCTCCAACAATGGATCATTTTTATTTTACCAAGCTGCTTGGCTATTTCCTCGTATCCCTTTCCTGCCTTGTGGAGTTGTACAAATTTGTCTCTAATGTCTTTGGACAGCTCTTTTGTCTTGGCCATGTTAGTAGTTGGACTCTTACTTTTTGTATGGGGTGGACAGGTGTCTTTATGCAGCTAACGACCTCAAACAGGTGCATCTAATTTAGCATAATAATTGGAGTGGAGGTGGGCATTTTGAAGGCAGGCTAACAGTTCTTTGAGAGTTCAACTTCTAGCTGATAGACAGGTGTTCAAATATTTATTTGCAGCTGAATCATAGTAATAAATAGTTAAAAAAATAATACATTGTGATTTCTGAATTTTTAATATTTTTTTTTAGATTATGTCTGTTGCAGTGGACATGCAGCGATGATGACAATTTTTGACCCCTCTATGATTTCTAATTGGGAGAACTTGCAAAATAGCAGGGTGTTCAAATACATATTTTCCTGTATATAAACTACTTGGGAAAATATTAGTTCTGACTAACAAAAGGCAGGTCATATTAGAGTGTAACAGACTTAAACATCATTAATAATAAAAATAATCCTAACTTGGCTGATAGTCTGTTTGCTTATCAAGAAGATTGTTTGTTTATGTAGTGCCAAAAAAAAATCACGCAGACTAGATTATATTTTACTAAGCAACTTTATTTTTAGAGGGTTTTGACATGGCATAAGTTGTTTTGTTGTTCTTTATGCTTTTTTATGGTCCAGCTACGGTCATTGTAATAGATTTTATTCTCCATTTATCTATTATATTACTTTTGTTATTAGGTAGTAGAACAATGTCTGACAGATCCATCAGAGATATTATTGCAACAATAAACTTACTGCTAATGTCATGAACAGCTGTAGAGATGCTCATTGCCTAGTAACTAACACTTCTGACCATAGCTGATATTCATCTGTGATCGTCAGGGTGATAACTAGGCTTTTGGAACATTTGCCCTTCAATGACCACATATAACCAGAAATGTTCTTGTGTTTTTTCTCAGGTAAAGGATTTTTAATAAGCTAGTTCATAGTTGATGTGATTCTGCCTGTCAATAAATTTAGGAGGCTCTTTTGGAAATGACAAATCAGCAACCTCCCAAACATTGTCTGGATTCTGCATTACAATTACATAGTGGACATGCAAACTTTGTTAAAAGAGCAGATTATCAATGGCCAAATGTCATCAATGCGGAATATGCTGTTCAAACACGTTACTTCAAGAGTTGGGGGTTGGAACACATATTTTTTTCTATTCCTCTCTTTGCTTTTGCTACTGTAAAAAACATCTGAACAACACTCAAACTTCACTCACAGCCAACATGCATGTTCTTTTTTGTTTTTCGTCTGTCTGTGTAAAAATGTGGGCATTAATTTTGATTTGTCTGTCATTTTGAAATAATGTCACTGACCTGATATGGCAAAAAAGAGGTCTGTTGTCTTAGTCTCTAGGTTTTCTGATCAGGATAAGTGGTGCTTAAGTTTGTTGCTAGTAAAATCATCCATTTGTTGGGGCTTTGTTTATGCTGGCTTGCATTTCCACTGGAGCAGAGCAATCTGACTATTGGTTTCCAGTCAGTTGCTTGGTCCTTTCTTTTGCAACTAATTTTCACTTATTTCATAAGGCAATTTAAAGGTTTCATTGAGCCAAGGATGGAAATGACTAGAATCAAAATTGCTGCAGACAGCCAGCTTTTCAGAAACATACCGAGCTCTGAAATACAATCGATAGTCATATTTATTATTGCTGCTTCACTGCAGAACCGTTTAAATTGGCTGCATTCAATCATATTTATTGATGATGATAATAAATCTGCAGTCCTGTTAAGACAGTTAAAGCAAACCATACCAGATTGCTGCTAGTGGTGATCTGTTTTTAAGGTTGAATGTTCTGTTTAAATGGATTTAGGATTACAATTTAAATTCAGGCTTTTTTCTCCTGGTTCTTATTTCAGACAAGTAAACAAAACTCTGATCAATATTTATTAATAATATTGATTAAAAAAAAATCAGCTGCAATTAGTTTAATTGCTTCAAATGAAAGCATAGTTAGTTTAAAACATACCTTTAAAAAGTTAGGAATGCAAAAAAAAAAAACGACCTTAAAAAGCATGAAATAAATTGATAGACTTAATTGATCTCACAGTGGAGAAATGTACTTGTTACATCGGCTCAATAGTCAAAAAGGAAAAGGTGCGTCGGGTATATACAGTATATACAGTGCGTCCTATGCGTGGGTGCTCTGTCTATACTTTTATCTTGGTGAGTGGCGCCCTAGTGGTTAGGGCATAGAGCTTAGAATGCTGAGGTTCTAGTTCAAGCCCCACTCCCACAGACTGCCACTCTTGGTCTTTGAGCAAAGACCTGTAACCCCACACTGCTCCCTGGGCGCCGAACAATGGCAGCCCACTACTTCCTAAAGGGGATAGGTTAACTGCAGAGAGGTCATTTCGTTGCTTTGTACTTGTGACAGTGTAATGACAATAGAAGCTGGAAAAAAAAAAATATATATATATATAACAGCTGAAGTCTCTTATTTAACAGGAATATAGATATATATATAATAAAGGGTTGAAATAACAGGAGCAAAAACATTCAGAGCAAACCTAAAAAAATACAACAACTAAGCATTTATGGCAATGGCCCCCCATTCAGAGTAAATGCTTTAGGAGCATTAAAACTAAAGAGAACAGGGATGCACCAGGAATGAAAAGACGTGACTGAACATGAAAGCAAAGAATCATGGAAATTAAAGCCAAAAACCGAAACACTGAAAGAAATTTTTATGTCAAATGTTAGAACCGTAGCATTTTTGGCTACGATGTGTGTAACAGCAACTACAATCAAGGCAGTTCAGTCAATTACCAAAGTATCCAAATATTTATTTACCACTGACTTTTTTTGTTATGCCCTTTGGCTTTGCAGAATGTCTGGGAAACTTTTTAACCTTTTTAAACAAAGAGTGGGCACGATCGAGTTTCCTTTTCCATGCCGCCTTCTTTTCATATTCAGAATGTTGATGGAGATGCTTGGATTTCTATGGCATCATTTTTGTGCCACTGACCGGAGCGCAGTGAGACTGATGTGCAGCGATTAAACTCAGACATCCTCTCTTAAAACCAGCCTGCTGTGCGCTCATCTCTGACTAATTCTGCTCGGCCTCGTGCTTTTCTGCTTCAGTCCTTCTCTTTGCACTCTCGACAATGTTTATTTTTTTAAATATACCACAGCAACTTTCTCACAAGTGAATATAAGATGGCAGCTTTGATTGCTGGGTATTTTAAACAATGTTACAGTTGTATTTAAATGTGTATATAAAGTAGTATATCTGTAATAAACAATGTGCAAAAGGGCCTGTCTGTAAAGGTTATAAACATTGGGTTGAATCATCAGAACTTTTGTTCTTTTACCAACGACAAACACCAGAACAATCTGATCTCTCTCCTCCTTTCCTTTCCATCTGCTCTTCATCAAGTCAACACTGCTTTCATTGATTTCCTCAGATGTACAGTCAAGTGATGATCAGAGGAAACTACCGTTCAACGGAGAGCTGAACGGCTTACTGGGAGCAGGACTGCTGGGAAGCAGCATGTCTGACTCTACCAGACCCATCTCCACAGACGGCAGCATCCAGGAGACTCAGAGGATGTGAGTGGCTTTTCATAATCCTGCCGTGAACCATTCCAGGAATGCACTTGTAAAGATATGGATGTTTTTTTTGCAAGCTAAATGTACGCTGTCCTGTTTTTAGCTGCCTAACCGGTGACGATGGGAGCACCAGTATCCCCATCACCTCCAACAACGTGGAGATCGTGGCGAGCCAGGACTCTGGTATCAACAGCAAGGCTCGCGGCAGCAACAAGGTAAGACGGTAAATCTTGTTTGGAGGTTCATGGTTTGTTAGCTGTGAATGGATCAGAACCTTTGTCTGTCATCCTGCTGCTGAGCAACATGAATGATTTAACAGAAACCTTATCATCAACATTGTGGAAATATTGTTCTGATTTTTATTTTTATTTTTTTTCTGATTTCTTCTTTTCATTTAGGTTAAAATTCAGACTCTCGCCAAATATGACTGGGAGCAAAAGTATTATTATGGCAGACTCATAGCGGTCTCCAACTCCTTCCTTGCATACGCCATCAGAGGTGACTCATTTACTTTGCTTTATAAAAAAAAAGAAGATTAAATGTAAATTACATTTTATTCAATAATCAGTAAAAACCTGCATTATTTAGGAGTTTAAATCAGCTTTATCATGATTCAGGCTGAAATAATCGGATTAATCGATTATTGAAACAATCATCAATTAATTTAGTAATCGATTAATCATTAACTGGAGTTTAGAGTCTCTAAAGCATGCCTTTAGCTGACAGAGGAACCCACCTTTAGCAGGAGTTGTACCAAAATTATAAAATAAAATGTTAACATTTTGCATTTCGTAAAAAGTCTCCTTTGCTATCTGATTATTAATCGATTAAATCGAAATAAATAATCGACAGATGAATTGATTTGCAAAATAATCGTTAGTTATAGCCCTAATCATGGTACGATTTTATATCGATTAGCTCTGGATGACATTATGATTTTCCTGATAGAAAAAGGTCTGTTACAATACAATCTCCACTCAAAGTCTGCAATCTATACGATGTGATATTACCTGCCCGTCTAACGCACTGATGTCAAAGTTAACTATATGCAATCCTTGTTAATAACAGTTTGTGTCTTTTAGGCAACTGAGTACATTTTTATAAAAAAAAAAAAATCTTTATGGAGATTCAGATGCAAACAAATAGCATATAGCATTACAGATCATATAAAGAACTGATTGTATTTCTTTAGCTCTTGTTAAGCATTGAAATCCTTTGTTTTTGTGTTTGATTGTGTCTTTGTTCTGAAAATGAAGCCAACAACCATGCGATGGTTCGGGTCCTGAGTTTGAACATTAGTGAACGCTCCTTACTGAAGGGATTCACCGGGGCCGTCACAGACCTGGCTTTCGCCCACCTTGACTCCTCTCTTTTGGGTTGTGTGGACGAGGCGGGGAACCTGATGGTCTGGCAGCTTACGCTCACTGAAAGCAAAATACTGTATCCTGAGATGCGGAAGGGCAGAACAAAAATTCATAGCTCAGATCCGCTTGGTCACATCAAAATGTGTTACTATTGCACTGACTTTAATCTTAACCCCTGTCTTTGTCACAGCAAGACGGATATTTCCATGTTTTCTTTTCTAGAATTTTCCTTAACCTAGATCCAAACAGGGACCAGATAATTGTTCATATTCAACGGCCAGAAGACACTCCACTGAACTCCCACAGGCGCCTCATCTGGTGCCCGTTCATCTTGGATGACAGTGAGGAGAACCAGGACGACATCGGCCAGATTTTGGCTCTTCTACATGAAGACAGGGTATCAGTGTTTTTAACCAACCTTCTAACGCAAACCAAAATCACATATTCTGTCTCTGGGAAATGATCAACCTAAGAGTATGGATTTAGAAAACGTCTGTTACACTCGCCTTAAAAAAGATTCAGACACCTAGCTAATGAATTTGAAGATGGCAGTCATTAAATAAACCCTTTTGGATCAAGTTTTGGCGATCTCAGAGCCTTCCAAAAATAGACCATCTTGACAGTTTGCATCCATGTGTCAGAGGAAAATAAAAACATCTTTCTTCACATTCAACTAATTGGCATTTTTTTCTTCAACTTTCCCTCTTCTAGGCTGAAGTTTGGGACCTTGAAGTATTGAGAGCTAATAACAGCAGTTGGCCTGTCGATGCTGCAGAACTGAGAGACGGCCTAATCACAGTGAAAGGACATAACCAGGTATCTGGAATTTACATTTCCCTTGTTTCACATGACACTGTTTAGATGAAGCCTCTGAAACAGCCTTTCTCTAAGGAGTAATACTACATCTGTTTGTTTCTTGTTGACTTCAGTACTTTTAACTCTCTAGAGTCATGAGGTCAGAAGGCAAAACTTAAGACATTTTAACAAAGACTGATGATTAGCAGATGTTTATTTTGATCAGTAAAGTTACTCTCCATGGTTCTGCAATGCATGAAGGGTTTAATTAACAGTGAAGGCCGATGAGTTGAGTATCTGCTTAAATTCCAGAAAACTAGCATACATTTTTGTTTAATAAGGTTTCCTTTTCTCCTCAGAAGATAAGCTTTTACCTATACAGGAATATAGAGGAAATGTGTTTTCCTAAATGATGTTTGTTCAGTGTTTATTGATGCTAACAGTTTGGTTATTGTTCAGTGTGCTCTGTCTGGTGCACAGCAGAAACCATGACCTTATTGTTTTGTTTTCCAGACTGTAAAGGGACAATATGGACTCTTAAGTTAATCACCGTATTTTACACGATTAGTTTTGACCGAGACTTGCTACTATGAAAACACAAAGCAGTAGTGCAAGTAGTGAGATGGTAAAAACTATACCTGTAACTTTTAATTAATTCCTTAAATATTTGTTGTTATGTCTGCTGCAGCGACTCAGTGAAGGCGCCCTGTCCCCTGATGGAACCGTGTTAGCCACAGCTAGCCATGATGGATACATCAAGTTCTGGCAGATTTACATAGAAGGTGGACAGGACCAGCCAAGGTAGAGGAATGGGATTCCTGGTGTTCTGATATGTGTTGCATGTTTTATTGTATTCATATTTTTTAGCAGAGTTACTACCCTCCCAGTTTAGGTTTGTGCTTCTGCTCTGTTATCCAGGTGTCTTCATGAATTACGGCCTCATGGAGGACGTCCGCTCTCCTGTCTTCTCTTCTGTGATAACCACAAGCGGCAGGATCCAGAGTCAGTTTATCCAGAGTTTAATGCTAGCATACTTGTCTGAGGCATTGCTTTTAGATATCAAATGTTTACACGTTTTCTGTTTGAAGGGTTCCTTTCTGGAGGTTTTTGATAACTGGAGCCGACCAGAACCAGGAGTTAAAGATGTGGTGCACCGTCTCCTGGACCTGCCTGCAGACCATTAGGTAGCCTAAGAAATACTAGTATGGATGAGGTGAGGTGGTTAGCACCACTTCAACAGATGGACACATGTTTATTTCTAAGGGTCGATTCATCATCTGCTGTGCAAAGAGAGATCAGATTACTTTTTCCTCTTTGCAACTTCAGAAGGGGATTTTTTTCCCCAATACTTCCTGACCGATGCTAACCGCCTGCCTTCTTGTTATTCTTCTAGGTTTTCTCCAGATCCATTTAACTCGACGGTTTTGCCAAGTCTCAAGGCCAGTTTAGATCTTTCTGCTGAATACTTGATCCTCACTGATGTGCAAAGAAAGGTGAGTAGTGCAAGGTCTGAATTAGTTCCCTAGCTCTATTGTTTTTTTTGTTTTTTTGTTTTTTTTGTTGAGTCCACAAAATCTATGAAAATAACTCCTCCCACTACAACAGTGTTTATCACGACTCGCTTACTGACTTCTGCTGAGAAAATATGACTTTTGAGGGACAAAAGATGAGAAAACGGCATCATTTCAAATCTCTATATTATTTAAAGCTTTCCAAAGTTAACTATAGGCATATTTAAAAATTTATTTGTTCTCAAATATTAGTTTTGGTGCTCTTTTTCAACCCCAGAAGAAAATATACTTTTCTTCACAGTAACGCAACCTTTCTCCTGTGTCGGTGCCGTCATTTCCACCTATGGCTCTTGGGCTCTTCTTTAGGAAGCCTGAATAAAGTCTGACACCTCCTGCAGCTTTAAACAGATTTTTCTTGACTTAATTTAAAAAAAAAGTTGTTGCTCTCGCTGTTCACATTAGGTCCTAAAAGAGCAACTTTATCTCTACTCTGACGGAAATAATTGTGTCTCATGATGAATTCCTTCAGGTCCTTTATGTGATGCAGCTGAGGCAGGACCTGGAGAAGGGTAAAGCCAATTTCACTGCTGTGTCGGAGTTCCTACTCACTCACCCTGTGCTTAGCTTTGGGGTACGAGACGTCACCCAGAGCCGACTGAGACACACTGAGGTCCTGACAGCCGAGGAGGAGAGCGAGAGTATTTCAACAGGTACTTACCGATCACCCGATCCCATCAGACTGCTATATAACCCCCTGGACCTGGAGACATTTACCTCACTTGGTTGGAAATAATGTATTTAGAAAATTAAATTGATGGGTCTGCTGTTGTTTCCAAATATTTAACTGAACTGTATTAAATACGGATTGTCACAGAGCAGTTTTGATCAGCTAACAAGCTGGATAACCCAGATTTTGATTTATTGGAAGAATTCATGTCATTACCAACAGATCCTGTTCTCTTTTACATTTGAAGCAACAGACTGTGGCCCAGAAGCATCTTCGTTTGTAGTGTTGGCTAGATGTTCCTTCTTAATGTTAACCAACCAAAAGCTAAGATGACAAGAATAGGTCGTTTTAAATACCAACATGAAGTGGTTCTGATTTAACATGTTTGGTCTGCTTTCTCCACTAGAGGGCACTCAAGGTCCAGCCGAGTCTAAATCTGGGATCCAAATTAAACTCTACTGTGTCCACCCAAAGTAAGTTTTCTCTCTTTTTTAGGATGCATTTAACTTGACTGAAACTGATTAAATCAGACTTTTAAAGGGTTAATGTTGTGCATTTTTTCTTGATAAGTTTATTTAAATGTTGACCAAACTTTATGTACCGAGAACAGCTGTTGTTGACTGTTTCTTATAAAACCCAAAATGTTACTGAAGTAGAACAATTAAAACATGTCAAAGGATGGCAGAAGTTAGGAACACTAACTTTCCCTCCATCAGTCTGTTGATCCAGTATCTCCAACCGGATATTGTGTTTTATTTCAGCTCTTCCACTGTAGTTCTGTAGGAAAACATATCTGAGACGTTCTTTAGCTTAGATTAGCTCCTTTCTTCTGGGAACTTCTCCTGCTTACGCCCAAACATACACAGATGTACCCAGCAGGAAATATTTGATCAATTTCTGTCATTCTTAAAGTCTAAGCTGTGAATTGCTTGAGTGAATAGCAGCCACAGTAAGTCTGGTTCTGTCATTTTAGTGCTTATTGGTTTAGAAATCCTTAGTTTAAAAAATGCTGATTGTCTTTGTATTGAAAACAAAATTGGTCTTAATTTGTATATTTGTGTTTCAGGAGTTTGCAGGGCGTCCAGATCTGGTTTCAGCCCAATGCAGCTCTCAATACATCAGGCTTTCTTCCTCATTCGGACTCGCAAGAGGGTTTTGGTAAATAAACATGATTTCATTCACTTACAGCGATGGAAAAGTTTGGTTTTAATTTAAGTCCATTTACTTCCAGCTTAGTAATGTTTGTTAAAGTCGTAGGGAAGTCATATTTAAATGTCAAATCATTCTGGCTTAAACTTGTATATAAATGTACTCTTATCAGTTGATATTGTTCCAAAATGTAGAAAATTTCTATTAAAAAAAAGAAAAAAATTCCTGTCTTAAAATCTGTGGGGTTTCTTTACGTCATCTTACGCAGGCCAGTTAGTTATACGTCAGCTTGTTAACATAAATTCGGGAAATTATATATCATCTGTCATCTGTCAATCAAATGTTTTCGGTCATAGCATCCTGATTCATATGTCGCAGCTAATATACGCAACGGCTGAAATAAGAACATTGTGTGTATCTTTTAGACAGTGAATGAGCAGCAGCTTAGCAGTGAAATGAACATTTCCATTCCATAAGGTGCAGCAGTGATCCAGTGTAAATTGTGTGGGAGAAAAAATTTGCATCGCAGTTGTAATCAGACTTTGTACTTAATGTTCCCAGCAGGGTTTTCAGACCATCTCACAGACCAGAGCTCCGATAAGGACTCTGGAAGTGGCTCACAGACCGACCTTAGAAAGATCCCCTCCCTCCCTGCTCCTTCTGACTTCCTGTCCAACTCGGGGCCCAGCAGTGGGCCGATGCCCAAGCTGATGACTCCTGATGCCTTCATGACACCAAGCACTTCGGTAATGATTTTTTTTCATTCTATGTTTTAACAAAATAAGTCTTCTAGGAGGTTATTAGTGTGTTTTTTTGACAGTATAAAATGTAAATGTTTAGGTACCTGCGTCTCCTGGTAGTAGTGCCAGCAGCCTGACTATTGTTACAGCCACCAGCAGTAACTCTGACTCAAACAGGTGAGCTTCTTGGCCCATATAATCTTTACTCACTACTGTTCTGTACGCTCATGTTTAGCACATTTAGACAATATCCAATCAGTTCTGATTTCTTCTTGCAGCATATTTACTTCTGACTTCTTGTCTCTGTTTCTCTGCAGAGCTATAGAGGATGTTACTCAGAGTCCCAGCAGAGGAGACAACAACAACAGCAACAGTAGTTTGGGGCTCTCTGTCTCCACCAGCAGCCCAAGAGCTGCTTCTGCAGTGCTGCTGCCTGGACTAGAGGGCCTGCAGGTATGACATGACGCAAACTTTTAGCTTCTTTCCCAAACTCAGTTCCTTATAGGAATTAAAAATAATTACCTATTCCTATAAGTAATTCTTATAGGATTATGTACTGCCTATAGATGAGGCAGTTTCTAAACGCCTCGTCTACAGTTCCTGGCAGAGATATTTTAACATAACACGTCCCCATCATGGGGATTCAGAGCTTGTCTCTATTATGTTTCAGCAGTGAGTTAAACTGAAGAGGGAAATGCATTAAGTTGACTGGAAAAATCTGTTTTCAGGTTTATTATTTTAATTTTAGGCTGCTCAGTGGTGCAGTGGGTAGCAATGCTTCCTTGCAGCAAGGAGGTTCTGGGTTTGATTCCCAGCCCGGGGTCTTTCTGCATGGAGTTTGCATGTTCTCCGTGAGCTTGCATGAATTCTCTCCCCTGGCTTCATCCCACAGGAGAAAGGGACCAGCAGCCCTCGCGAGTTTTCTTTTTTTAAAAGTTTTTTTTGTTTTATTTTTGTTCTGACTAGCGGCATACCTTATTCTGGGCCTATTCTTGCCTTATGGTGACTCATTATTTCCCTCCTAAGACCTAAAGTTGATCCCACCCAGTTGGCTCCAGGTCCTTTTTTTTTTTAATACCCTTTAGGATTTTAGCAATGTTCAGACCTCTTTTATGCAGGAACCAGATCCTGGATAGTTGGGAAAAGTTTGTGGTTGGACATTTTGATCCAGCTCTTTAAAACATAGCAGTGTTCTCTGACAGTTGGGGAAAGCTTTCTGCCGAGAAGGAGCAGCAACCCAACAGGTGGAACCTACCAAGGGGAAGTGCTCATTTTCTTCTCTAAAACAATCTTTGTAGCCTTCCCTGTCCAGGAGTCTTCTCCTCCATGCAGCATGATTTGGTACCTAAAGCCATGCTACACTGTGTCTAAAGCCCTCAGCATGAAGTTACTGATGTTTTATTTCAGCTGCTTCATACCCTGCAGCACTTTGTTGTATCTGAGGCTTTTAATGGCTGCAGCTCCTTCGATGAAGCCTCTTTAGCTGCCTCATGTACTCTGCCAAGGGCCCCATATGGAGCTTGGGTGTAGAGGTGAGCCCGCCTCTGAAGCAGCCATGAGTCGCATGTGGTTTATCAGGACGGTTTTTTAAAAGAGCCTGATGATTCCTTAACTAGAACGTTGATTTTTGAAGGTTTATCTGTGAGACTACATTCAGCATTCAGATAAACAGCTAAGCATTAACTTGTAATTCTTTCCTCTTCAAACTATTTTTGAAAGGTTTTGTCAGGCTGATCAGGGTAAAGACAAATTTCTTATGATTTTTGAAGTTTATTGAAAATATTTGCTTTATTTCAGGCTCTGGCTTCCCCCAGTGGCCCCCTGGCTCTCGAGTCCCCTCATGTCCCAGATTCTCCCCTGCTGCCTCCCTTAGCCTCCCCCACCAGGGCCCGCTCTCCAGACGTCATCTCTTCCGCTTCAACGGTGATGTCCCAGGACATGCCAGAGATCGCGACACAGACCCTGCAGCACCAGCGCGGTCACGGCTTAGAGGCCTTACCTCTTCCTGCTCTCCAGACGGACAGCATGGCTTCTGCTGCTTGTGCTCTGCACCTCCTGACATCTCCTCGTTCTGCTAACAACAACGGGTACGAGCAGCAATTCTTTAACGCCCTTAAGCCGTTCTCGCTTAATGTACTTTAATAAATGCAATCAATCTCTTTCCCATATCCTAGTTTGTTGCCCCTCGAACTCGGAGGCAGCGAAGTGTCGCCCATCGGGCCAATAGAGTCAGAGTCCAGAATGGGTAATAAACCGTCTCTTCTGGAGAACACGCTGTCGCAGGAGAACTCCGGGGGCAGCGGAGGGTCATTAGATGGCAGTGTTAGCCATACGGCTTGGCCGGCAGCCCCAGACATCACCAGGGAAACCAGAAACAGCCTCAGGGACAACGGGTTGGGAGACTGGTCAGTAACCGCACTTCAAGGCAGTTTATAGTTTTTTGCTTTTGATTTGTGTTGGTCTGTTGGAATCAGTTCATGCTAAAGGTTCGGCTGAACTGTGGATTCCAAGGTTTTCTTCTTTCTTTTCTAATGTTTATCAAGAATGGAAACAATTTCCAACCCATCACATGAGTTCAGTTAATAGAAAAATACTGTTGCTTAATCTTTTCATTAATTATAAACAAAACAATGATCTTCCTTTTGTAGTTAATAGTAGGGCTGGGCAATAAACCTGATTTTTACTGTTACGTCACTACCCATGATAACGGGTGACAATTTTTCCCATGTTGGTAAAGGAAATAAACTTAATTCTGCCATTTTTCCTGTGTGCACTAGTGGTTGGTATTTCCTTCCCCTTTAAGACACTGCAGTGTGTGTCTAATCATGTGATTCCATTGATTGAATCAGAATCATAAACAAAGACAATGGCGGATGAGCCCAATGAAAAAGCATCTAACACAGCTGTAAACAAAATTACATCAGTTAACCCTGTGGAGCCGAGCGAGAGCAGAAATGAGGCTGAGAGCGTGTTGTCAGAGAGCGCGGTGGACGGGTTGTGAGCATTGGTGTGCGAGTTTAAACTATTCCCGTTGTTCTCACTTCACACTCAGTTCGGTGGCACCAAAATTACGCTGTAGATGTTGAGCAACAGAACACAAAATGCAAAGTTTGTCTGAAAACTGTTGGGACTAACCAAAGTAAAACATCCAACCTTCACCTACAGCACAACCAGAGAGGTAACATTTTTCTCCTGTTCAATGAGACATTGTTGAATGTATAAACCTGAATGAGTACAAGACTTTAATATTTAATTGAAAGTGAGATATATATATATATATATATATATATATATATATATATATATATATATATTGTATAAATAAATTCTAAATAGATCAGGTGGATTTTCTGCACATGCCTTTATTTCTGATAGAGGAGCCGGAGCAATTATCGTACATTTATCGTTATCATGGTATAGCCGCCCATTTTATCGGGATATTGTTTTGAGGTAATATACCCAGTCCTAGTTGAGGGCATTTTTTATTTTTTTTTTTAATGGGCCAAGTCATCCATGTTGTATGTGGTGCCGTCCACAGTTTTTATTGCTGCAATGTTCCAACCTTTAATGTTCAAACTCTGTTTAAAAACTAAGGATAACACAGCTTGACGGACGGAAAATAAGATTTTTATTTCCATTTGATTCCCTCAATGCTTTTGGTTGAAAACTGACAGAAAGTCATTTGTTAGGTTCTTTGTCTGGCTCAGTCTTGGATTTTTTTTCTCTCTTGTGACTTTTAGAAATTCTTTATCAGCCTGAGAGAGCTTTCCTTTCTCCTCAGATTTTTTTTAATGATTCACTGACAGTAACGTGAGATGTTATAGTGCTAGGAGGGAACTCTATAAAAAAACTATTGATCAAGACATTTTTAATACGATTAGAAACCCTTTAGACCCTTTAGTTCTCCAATTTTATTTATTGAGAATCAGTTTATTAAAACAATGTTGCCAAAACTGAATCAATGTTTGTCAACCGGTTGTTTCATTGAATCTATCTCTTATAGTTCGAGAGAGGAGTCCAGTGAGCGCCGTTTGAGTTCTCCCTACCACCCTCGCTCCCACCACCTCACACAGAACGACAGTCAGGACGTTGGAGCCGATCAGAGGTAACATTCATCACTGAATTAACTCAGAAGAAATTGTTTTTAGTCACCTACCATCAGATGACTACAGAGCCCTTCACTCATTTTGTTGGCATTTAGCGATCCTGATGATGAGATTTCTAGTCTGGCTTCATCCTCTGGGAACTGCGGCTCTCGCTCCTCCCACAGGATACCAGTCAAAGACTGGAAGACCTCCCCAAGAAGCTCGCCCAAACTAAAGAGGAGAATGAAGAAAGATGACAGGTATGTTTTGAAATTCTAGCTATGCACCTTAAGCATTAAAACTGAAGTAGTTTATGTCTGATTATATCTTTGTTCAATGCCTACTTCCTTCTCTTTAAACTGTTGCAAGGAGCTGCAGTGAAAAACTAGATAAAAATTTTAAAGAATTCTGTTGTATTGGTTTTTATTTTCTGTGATATTTTTTTCTATATATTCACATTTTGAAGATATCAAGTTCATAAGATGTTGATGGAAAATGTTCTGCTTATCATTAAATCTTTGTTGTTGTTTCTCCCATTTTCAGTGAATCTTCTCAGCCCAGGCACATGGATGCTGGTCAGGTAACAACCGACAACCATAACTGCTTCTCTGCCCCAGTTTAATGAATGTAGCTACTATTTACAAAGCAAACCTCAACAGTGCTGAAACAGTAGATTATTAATGTCTCACTCTAATCGGGATGCTCTGTTTGCTGTGTTTATCTTTCAGATAGTATTAGTTTAAAAACACATTACCCTTAGAAATAATATAAAGCAGACATAAAGGTGGAGTTTTTACATACATTGGCTAAATGTTGAATTACATCGTTGACATCATAAACAGAAGTAAATATTTATATATCTCAGACCGTTTCAAATCTATAAAACAAACACTTAAATTTTATATCTTTTCTCATGCATTAAAGTAAACACTTTCATGCTTAACTACTCTATATGTTCTGTGAATTTATCATTTTTGAAAATCTAATCGATTTGGTGAAAAAGTTTAAGCTTTGACCTTAAAATGTTGCCAAACACTGTTGATCTAGATGTCATAACCTGCCCTGATCCATATTAAAGACACTTCAGTTTTCAGTAATGGTAGATAAAAAATGATGAAGAAATAAAACCTTCTTTTGAATGGGATGATCAGGTGGGATAGTATCAGATTATAACACAGCAGGTTCTTGTCTTAACTGATGGATTATAATTTTAATTATAAACAGTATAACGGGGTCTGTTTAAGATGAAGACAGGATGTTTGTAGAAAATGGAAGTTTAATGTTTGGTTTCAGAGGAGGCTTACACTTGGCCAGAGTGAGATAATCAACTAGTTATGGTGCTGATATTTTACTAATAGTCCACAGCACCTAGAGACATTGTGGGGGCGTGTTGGAGATATATCTGTTCACACGCTTTTAAGGTTTTATGTTTTTTACACTAGTATTCCCCTTATTTTTACATCCCTCATTTCTCTGGAAATTCAGTTTTATCCTAATTTTGATTTAAACTCTGCTGTTTTTTTGTAAGGTGCTCGCCTCTTGTGGATTTGTCAGTTTGAGTTGCCTTTTCTGTGTTTTACTCTATTTTTTGTCTTTTGTTTTCTGCCTACAGTTTAATGCAGAAGCTCAGGATGAGCTGTTGATGCTGCTGCGCACCCAGCAGAGAGACTTAACTGAACTGTGGTCACTGGTGGAGACCATGCCGGGTACAATTATTGCTCAGGTGGAGCGCGTCCTGATGAAGCACCAGGAGCAGGAACGTATCCTTCATTCAGTCACTTCTCATGACACATTCCCATTTCCTCCTCCTTCGCACATATAATATGCTGCCATAAGAAAATGATTCAGATCCAAAAGTGGACAACGGGTTTATGTGAATACTTAATACATCCACATGTTTCATCTGCTGTTAAGCCTTGACCCTTCTTGACCTCAGAGCGCAGATTGGATCGAGTTCTGGCAGAGAGTCAGAACCACCAGCAGCAGCTTCAGGAGCAGTTCACCCAGCAGCTGAGCAACACCCTCAGCTCAGCGCTAACAAACAGAATGGACAAAGTGCTTCGAGAGGAGCTGAAGAAAACTGTCCCACAGAGTAAGCAAACATACACAACAGATGACTCATCTTTTATTTATGTACAAACTCCAGGATTATTATTATATGCTTCTAATGTATAGAGAACTTCATCTCTAAAATATTTGATAGAAACCACAAACCTTCCAAACAAATGTCTTTCTTTACAGGTGAGGGTGATATTAAGTCACTTAATATTGTCTGCTGCAGTAGAAGAGAAAGATAAGATAAAAACAAAAAAAAAAGATTGTTTAGATCAGTTAGTTAATGTGTGATGATAACTGATCAAAATGCATTTGGTTATAGGAGCAGTTTGGAGTAAATGGCAAATCCAGCTCATTAATATAGAACCTTTCTTTTTAGTGGGGTGCAATGAAGAGGGGTTCATTCACAAGCTTCCTGGGACAGAACTGGAGAAACATTCAAGTTTCTTAGTTCTGTTTAGTTTAATTTTTTAACTGCTTTGTAAAGTTTGAAAAGTATCAATTTTAGTGGGTAAATAATAACAGAAGGGATTATGACTAATTTAATAATGGGATTCACCACTGGCCGCTTCCCTGCCTTTCCTTGCACATTTTCCCTAGGGATGCTATGTAAATCTGCCGTTGTCACCACCAACACCATGCTTGGTCCTGAATGCACCTTAAAACACATCCAAAAACTTGCTTCTATTTCAACCAGATGCTTTGAATAAAGATAAGAAACTTTGATCACTATGGGGTCACATCAGCTTTTCCAATTAACCAGCATCTGGTCAGAATTGCTTTTTGACTGTGATTCATTTCAAATATCCTCTAAAAACTAATAATATTACAGTAATAATGTTTATTTTGATAAGAAACAAGATTTTAGTTAAAATTTTCTGATTAATTGTAGTCCGCATAAGCATAGATTTATGTCAAGAATAAGATCTAGACAGTGGATTTAACGATGAAAGGATGCTAACAAGCTAACAGACCGTATCCAACTCACAATCTCTCCTCTCAAAGTCCTGTCAGCTTTGAACTGTAACAAAAAAAAAGTAAAAGTAAATTTATATATATATAAATGGTTACACTCTACTAAATTAGGTTTACATAAAAAGCCATTCTACGGAGAATGCATATTTCTTATTTCTGAAAAGAAAAGAGAAATGCTCCATCAGATTATTACTCCAAATATTTTTCTTTAAACTGAACCATTTAAAACTACTACTATCTAGCTACTATCTACATTAACCCACAATGTCTAAATTTTCTGGCTAAAATCTGGCTGATATGGCGGATGCAGTTAGCTGCAGCTTCAAGGGAGGCCACTCCTTCTTTCTGGCTCAAAGCAATTTGTTTACATGACTGCATCACAGCACTTCTGATAGGCTGAACGAAGTATGAGAACAGATTTTTACATTGTTTTAAAAAAGAGGGAGCTGCCCCATGTAGATTAGCTGCTAAAAGACCCACTTTCTCTCTAGGAAGTTGGCCTTTTTTTCCACAATTTCTCCACAATTTTTCCACAGCTTGGTTAAGGTAGCTGTTTGCTGGATGGGGTGGGGTATTCTTATGTAGATATTCTCCAACTGCTTGTTTTTCCAGGACACGGAGGGGCTACTGCTCAGGCAGCAGACCTCATGGGGTTGTGAAGTAAAATACAACTTTGTCCATAAAAATGATGAACAATAGCATTTAAACATAGTAAAAAGAGGTAGCCCATTTTCCCTCATTGTTTTAGGGTTTTTTTGTTTTTCTTTTTTTTTTTATTGATACTGGGAACTGAAGATCAATATTATGATGCATTTTGCATCATATAGCCCCCTTTAAAATTTGATCATCTTATTTTGCATTAAGCAAGAACATTTTTATCACAATAAATGTCAGGAAGTTAGTAAAAATGTGTAAATATCTGGTTTAATGTGAAGAAGTCCCGTCTGATTTGGGATGTCATCGAAGAAGCTGGAAGGTGTTGCTGAGGAGAACAATGCGTGTGTTTTCTAACTGTGGTGAATTAAAGCATTAGGTTTGGGTCAGATAATAAACTTCAAACAAGAAGAATCGGAAAGAAATTTGTTTGGACATTGTTGAGCTGCTTTTTAAGTTTTTGTTTTGTCACTTTGAATTGTTCAGAGTGGAAGTGCAGAGCAGGCCGTCCATCAATAAATGATTATGTTATATAATGCTTGAGATAATTCTGAGCAGAAGTAAAATATAGCTAAGACTGCTGAGGTGTGATGATGTCAGACTTAAAACACTGCCGTCTCTGGAGAGACGTTTCCCTGCCTCAGCTCCTCCAGCCCTTACATTCAGACAAGAAGGTTTTCTATTTGCTCTCTGCAGTACCGCTTGTCTAATTATAGAAATGTTCTTGCTAAATTGTCTCCCTATTTTTTTCATATTTATTAGCAATTTCTAAGAGTATGGAACCTGTGACGGGGCAGCTGAACAATACGATTGCAGCTAAACTGACTGCAGTGGAGGTTACCCTGAAAGACAATGTCATCAAGGTGGTCAAATCCAAGGTACGCGTCCAAAGTTTAGTCTTATTTTTTTTTCTGCTTTTCTTTCTCTTCTATTCTCTTCATTGTTCGACTCTAATGTGGGCTTACTTTATCAGAACACTACAGACGCCATCGGTCGAGCTGTGTCCGAGGCCATGCAGGGCCCCATCCAGGCTGCCTATAAAGACGCCTTCCAGAGCACCGTGCTGCCTGTCTTTGAAAGAGGCTTCCAGTCCATGTTTCAGCAAATCAATGAAAGCTTCAAGCTGGGAACACAAGAATGTAAGGCATCAGAGATTACCTTGAAAAAGTTAACTATTACTGCTATATGCAAGGTGCTTAATAAAGGCATAATTTTACCTGAAAATCCACACCAAGGTGTCAGTCGGGTTTGGCTCAAATGCTTAACAAAGTCTGAATATGAAAACAACTTTATTACCTAAATTACTTACTAAGCTGCATCCACCCATCCTGCCCCCCCCCTATGTTAGTCGTTAATCCATTTTTCCAACCGTTCATCGCTCCATTTGTCCTCCAAATCTTTGTTTTACACACTATAAATGTATTTAATGCACCTTTAAAATCTGCCATATAGTCACAGTAAGCTGATATTCAGTTCAACTTTTTTATAGATTGAAGCTTTGAGAGACACACACTCTGAATGTGCAGAGGAATCTGCAGAGAAGTGTCCACATGTGTGTAGAGCGTTTTCACAGTAAATGTTGAGATTCTGTCAGAATCAGGGGGTCCTTTCATTGTGTTGGAGAATATTAGGTTATCTTTCCTTTGTGATCTTTTTTCACTTCCAGCAGCTTTAAACTTTGTCTGGAAGTAGATCAACTCAGAAGGGAGCAGATGAGGTGAGGCTCCGTGATAGAATGAGATGTAGAACAGGCCACTTCCCAACCAAGCAGCCTCACAGACGCATTAATAACAAGTCGGCTTGTTCTATCTCTGAAGCTCTAAAGTTAAATACATAAACATGGAAAGCACACACAATGAGGCTGCTTCTCCTCCCATTTAAATAGCATCAGTAATCCGATTCAGGGCATTGTAATTACATATTGACTGAATCTGCAGCATTAGCATCTGCACTTCTTTAATTATATGATTGCAATTGTTTAACTTAAATATTACCAATATGCATATTGATCTCCATCTATGTGTTTAAAACAGCTGGGCGAAACCCCCTCCGTCCATATTCATGGTTAAGTTATCTCGATTTGATTCAGTATTGACTGCAGGCAGAAATTGTTCAGGGATTCTTCTGAAGTGGGCTTTAGTTAGTAGTCAGTATCTCAATAGGTTTGCAGAACTCAAGTGCGATCAGATCAGGCTAACGCTGCACAGCTCAGATATATATTTTTTCATTTCTTTCAACCAACTGATTAATGTTACTGCATAAAATTACATCTGCTAAGTGAGTTTTGGCAGATACCGTATTTTCGCGACTATAAGGCGCATATAAATGTCTTTTTTTCCCCCCTCAAAATGTGCACCACGCCCTATAGTGCGGTGCGCCCTATGTGTGTTACGGATGTTGTTGAGACCGCCATGACAACGTTAAAGGGGGAAGTGTGGGCATGGATTGTGTATAAAAGAACAGGTATGTGCTTTATGCAGAACATTGTTGTCTTAACAACCCCGAAAATGGCAAAGAGACACGCCTATGAAGCACAGTTTAAACTGAAGGCTATCAGCTACGCAGAGGAACATGGAAATCGAGCAGCCGCGAGAGAATTCAAGATAAATGAATCGATGGTTTGCAAGTGGAGGAAGATGGAAAACAAACTCCGACAGGTGAAGAAGATGCAGCTGAGTTTCCGCGGACATAAGGCGAGGTGGCCCAAGTTGGAGGAAAGACTCGAGCGGGGGAGTCGTTATTAAGGCAAATGAAAAGGGCTGGATGGATGAGGAGATGATGAAAGCGTGGCTGAGGGAGGTGTATCTAAGGAGACCAGGTGGTCTTTTCCACGCATCACCATTGCGGATGGATGTAGATGTTTGGGCTAACGTGTCTGCTGGCTCTGTTGTTCGAGCTTTCGCAAAAGCCGGCATCATTTCCAAGGAACCGCACGGCACGGAAAGTGACTCTGACAGCGAAGAAGGGGAAATTGGCATGTCTGATTTAGTGCAGCTGTTTAATTCAGAAACAGGATGATGACTTTGATGGGTTTGATTAAAACTTTGTAATAAATACATGAATAAAGCACAAACATACTCAGTTTTGCTCCCGCTCTATTTTTAAATACGCAGTAGAGGTATTTAAACGTAGTAGAGGACATGTACCTGTATATAAAACCCGCGCCCTATAATCCGGTGCGCCTTATGTGTGTGTTAAATACAGTAATGGCACACATAACTGAGACTGCGCCTTTTAGTACGGTGTGCCTTATGGTCGTAAAAATACGGTAAGTTAGGTAAATGTTTTCATTTAATCTCCGTAGCATATTTAGGAGATGACCAAGGGAATATATCTTTTTGCAGCATGGTGTTATTGTTGCCAAGTAAACTGGTGTTTAACCTGCTTTATATAGAAAAACAGAAGTTATTCATATAAATTAAAACTGGCAAATTTAAACTTCACAAAACCAAGAAGGTTTTGCAAACCGCCGACAACATAGCCTCTGGGAACATCCATGCACTGAAACCACTCCACCACATTAAGGTGTAAAGTCTGGAAGCTTTTTTGTAGTCATGTCTGGATGTGTGATTGGCATCAGAAAATGGTCTGATATTACGCAAAAATGAATATTGGAATAGATCAACCTTCCCATTAAAAATTAGAAAGCTCATGGAAACACTATTTCTAACCGCTTTTGTTTAAAGTCACGTTTTGGTTCCCATACAGGTTTTTGTTAAGTATTGTACTCTGTTTGAGAAGTGTCACTCATCAACCCTTTTCTTTTCCACGCCACAAAAAAAGTCATTATAGTATGTATGATTCATGCTGTAATCGTATTGGGTCAACATCACTATCAGTCATTGCTCAAGACTGCAATATTGTGATCATATCATAAATTAAAAAGTTGTATCGGGACATCCCTAGTATTTTATTTTTGTTTTTTGTTTGTTTTTTAAACTGCATTTGAATATAATTTCTCCAAACTTATGACATGATGACAGCAAAAATTAGATGACTTCTGATATTTCCTCTTCACTGTTTCAGTCACAAAGAATTTAAGGTAAAAAATGTGCAGGCGTGTTATTTACCCATTTAAAGTGTTCTTGTGTAATTGCTTTGCTGCAGACACCTGAACAGTTGGAAATGTTGCCAATAAACCTAATTAGCAGTAGGAGGTAATAACCTTAGAGAAACCTCTATAAAGGCTAACAGAACAGATGCGTTTTAGTGCCTGATTCTCCTCAGGATCCAGGAAGCTTGGAGCATCTGAAGACAGCTAATCCAGTTTAAACTGACATAAACAACAAATCGAGAATTATTTATATGGCAAATAGTCCTCGGGTTAAAAGTTGCCAGGTTTGAGTGTGATGAGTTTTGTCTTTCTTGTTCCCAGACATCCAGCAGCTGGAGACTCACTTGAAAAGCAGAAAGCAAAGGGAGCAGGACTCACGGGACCCTGTGATCGGCCAGCTTCAGCAGATGATCGACACCTTCCAGAACTCCACCGATCAGCTGGCCGGCAACATATCGGCCGCCGTCCGGACCGAGGTCCAGCACCAGATGCAAATGGTGGTGGGAAAGTAAGTATCTGAGGCGACCCTAATCGATAGATCCCTCAAGGAGGGAACCGCTGCTCTACAAAAAAAGCAAAAAACTACAGCTCCTGCTTTAAAAAAAAAAAAAAACATTGCTTTAGTTGACTGAAACCACTGACTAAAAAAGAATCGACTGGCTGTTTGTTTTGCATATCATGTATGTAAATCAGCAACTCCAGCTGTGCGGCAGAATTTGCTGTAATGGATTGGAGAGTAAAAACAAGCAAAGCTTAATCCTGAGGCTAATGTAAAAGGATAATTCGATTAGGTCTCTTGTTCCCCATGCAATTAATTCCTTATCCTAAGGAGTTTATAGATTTAGGGTTGGAGCAGAGAAGAAGTGGACCGTTAGCTGATGCTCTAACATCTTAGAAAGGAAATGACAACCTCAGTCTGCAAGAGACTGTTTAGCAAATAAGCCCAACTAAATCTTATATTTTACTATAAGTTCTGGAAAGATTTGATCTGAAGGATAACTTTGGTCCCCTTCTCCAGCCTGCAGGATACTATTCTCAGCCAAGTGCAGCGAATCGTCAAAGGGGAGGTGAACCTGGCCATGAAGGAGCAGCAGGCAGTCGTCACCTCTAGCATCATGCAGGCGATGAGGTCAGCAGCGGGAACGCCTGTCCCCACTGCGCACCTGGACTACCAGACGCAGCAGGCAAACATCCTGCAGTTCCTCCAGCAGGGCCAGCTCAATCAGGCCTTTCAGCAGGTAACCCAGCAGAGCGCCCACTCCACTTTCCTTCTCTGTATCACTGACTGCAGTCACACTCAGATAGACCAGGACACTGTTACGCCTTTGGGGCTAACGGCTCAGAAAACCTTTAAAGTGCGGTTTACTTACACACTCAGGAGGGACAAAAGTACAGCTGCAGGTATTCATTATGCTTCCCCCATGTTGCTTTGTTTCTGAAACTTCTCTTTGCTGTAAACAAACTCACCGTTTTTACCTCCTGCTACTCCTCTGAAATCTTTTTATAGCTCATGTGGTTTTTTTAAATTCCTGAATTTTCCCATCAGGTTTTAAAACCAGCAGGAAAAGATCCTGTATAAATGATTCATGTCATAACTCAGTCTTCTCTTGGTGTTAGAATTGGTAAAAAAAGAAGAAAATAAACTGGTTTAGTACAACTCAGCATAAGGTCACATTTTTATGTCCAATAAAATATGTTTTCCAGTTAATTTCTTCCTAAATGAAATTTTATTTCCCTTTATTCTCATTTAGTCTCAAAACGTGTTTAGAAACAAATTTGAGTTTGGTAGACATATTTAAACTTGATTCCTTATTCTATTAGATGATTGAAAAATACACTTTTGTTAAATAAGTTTAGTCTCCTTTTTTTATTTTAATCTTTTTGATATTAAAAATGTTGTTTTTATTAAGGTAACACAGGTTAAAGGTGCAGGGGCCAGGGTACACGTGTCGCCATAGTAGATATATATCCAAGGGGGATTGTGTTTATGCATCAGTATGCATATTTTATTTATGCATCAGTAAGAGTTTTCACCCTTTAAAGGACTTTCCTTGAGCATTTTTAAAGGATCCAGTCAGGATTAGAGAAAAACGAGGATGCATACGTACCAGTTGAGCAGTATTTTCTTTAATTTCTGTTGGATTCCAAATGGGGCTGGGCGATTAATTGCTTTTATCAAATCATTCTAAAGATTACATTTTTTTTTGAAAATCAGAACTTATATAGATTTTTTCAATACACTATATATTCTTTTATGCTCAGAGTTACATCAATCCAATTTTAGCTCTTAGGCGTCTCATAACTGTTCAACTAGCTCACCGTGTGATACCATTTAGCGTGTTATATTTTAACTATTTGTTGTGAATCCTGATTATTTTACAAGCATGTTTCATTGCTAGAAATTTGATGCTTTTTTAATTACTTTATCCTTCTAGAGGGGATGAATGAAATCAAAGCTAGTTTTTAAAAAGAAAAAATGTATTTTGGCATTTTTATAATCAACTTAGGACCAAGAAATTATTACATTTTAAATCGCATCTCCCAGCCATAGTTCAAAACTATTAAACTATAAATATTTTTATCAAAAATCATTTTTTTGTAAGAAGCTTGATATCGGTGAAAATAAAATGGGCACAAAGGAAACTCTTAAGTTTGTACTGGGCTGGATGAACCCTGATGAGTACGTCTCTAATGCTGCGTTCACACTGAACGCAGCAGGAGCCGCAGAAGCAGCCAGCTGACATGCAAAGTCAATGGTTGACGCGCATCAAGGCGCAGCAACAGGTCCCGCGGCGCGTTTTGAGCAGCAGGAGCAGCGCATCGGGAGCGTTCAAGCATCTGACGCGCGTGACATGCCCCAAACGCGCTGCTGCTCGAGATGGAAAAATTTACCTTTTGCTGCTTGACGCGCCGCATCAACCAATCAGAGAAGCTGATCTGGGAGCTGGCTGGGAGAGAGACACATCGCTGATGACACAGAGCGCTGTGATCACTCCTCTGAAACAGTTTATTAACGCTAAAATTGATTTAAAAATGCTGGAACCTGCCAGCAAAACACGTTCGCCTTTATTATCCTGGTGCCTGCAGTTTGGATTACGTACATGAAAACCGCTTCCAGCCTCCGCAGCAAACCGCGAGGAGGTGACCGGTCCAGAGGCTGCTGTTGAATGGGATTCCTACTGACAGTGCACCGCCGGTATGTGGGGGTCTGAGCGGCTACAACAGAAATAATATTGGAAGGCAGGATGATAATCTGGATGAACTGACTGCACTGATTAAGTTTTCAGGCGGATTTTCCCACTTAAAAAAAACATATTAAAACTACTTTATTCCCACTGATCAAAGCAAATATAGCTGCAAGGCAAAGAAAGGATAGAGTAACTCCGCCCAACGCGCATCAGATCCACTTTTCCACCGCGCAGCCAGAGCATCAAAGCTGCTTCAGCCGCACGTCAGAACTAAACTGGTACAAGCATCAAAACTGAAGCAGTAGATGCGATTTTGCTGCTCCTGCTGCGTTCGGTGTGAATGTAGCATGAAGCATGATGAAGATTCATGAATTGAGAATAATCGGTATTTAGTTTGGGGCAACTGATCCTTTTAATTTAATGTAATTAGTGCAAATGTAGAACATAGACCCCAAAAAGTTAATGTCATTTTGGACTAAAGTTTGTCAGAACCTTGATAACTTTGATATTACACCTATTTATACAAAAAACATTAACTCAAGACATTACCCATTCTTATCTAGTTATAAAGAAATCAAACAGCAGTTAAGCCACATCTTAATTACCTTACCTAGCTCTCAGCTGAAGCCTAAATATTTACTATATTTCAGTCACTACAACAATGCCAACAAGTACAAAGTTCCCCCAGGAAGCATCCAGTCCTCAGGTTCACATCATCAGGTCTGTGTGTGACAGTAGAGCAGGAGGAAGAAGCCAAAAGATGGCTCTGGCAGGTGGAAGAATCCCATCCCCATTTGAAGTTAATGGTTTCCATTTAATCATGAGGAAGTAATCTGACAGAATAAATAAAGGAATCATAATAAAGCCCCCTGTTTACCTCTGCCTCCTCCTGCAGGCTCTGTCAGCGACTGATCTGAATCTGGTTCTGTACGTGTGTGAGACCATCGACTCACAGCAGGTGTTTGGGCAGACGCCCTGCCCTCTGAGCCAGCCTGTGCTGCTCTCACTCATCCAGCAGCTTTCCTCCAACCTCACCACCCGCTCTGAGCTCAAAATCAGGTAAGAAAATAAAACAAACATGTTTTATATCACAATCCTTTTCAGGAACTCTTATTTATGAATGACTTAACATTTTTCTACATAATAAAAATTTACTTTGCTCACCTGTCAAAGCCTGCATGAATGAAAGTTTTTCATTTAACTTCTGTGCTGCGAGTCATCACAGCCCCACAGATTATACAGATGTCTAAGCCCTGCACTTCCATCAGCATCCAGTTATGCTTCTCACTTTTATAATGTTCTACCAGACAGAAACGTGATCATTCATTTAAAGGTTTATATGCGAAACAGAGCTTTAATGTCATTCTGTTGTTAGAAATGCTGGAAATGTGAGCCATGATCCCAAACCATGGAACAGAGAACATTCTTGACTCAACCTGCCTTTAAAAGTTTTTTTAAAAATCAAGTTTATATCCCAACTGTAATTATTATTATGATTAAAATAAACTATTGGTCATATTTTCTCCAGCAACTCATGTTCTATTGGGAAAGTAGGCACGCACATGCTGACAGCAGTGTTGGGAATGGTACTTTAGTTAAGTAACTCGTTATAGTTACTTCTCCATGTAACTGAGTTAGTAACTCAATTACTGCTCAATGAAAGTAACTCTTAACAGGCCAAAGTAACTATGCAGTTACTTTTTATGTTTTAAAATGTGGAAGAACCTTCGTTATCTGAATTTTAAGACAACTAAAGGTTGAATTATTGATATTTAATTATTTTTTTTTTTTTTACGACAGCCCTCAATTGGCTATAAAATAAGTTTATATTTTCAATCAATGAAACTAAAATAAAAAATACACTTTGCAATAGCATTAAACAGTTAGTTACAATGGTAGTTGCTTGCGGATGTTTTTACTGTAACGCGTTAGTCCCCCACTTGTTGGCAGAGATGCACTGTTCAACAGAAGTGTGATTTCGTCTTGTGATTCCCCTTCTTTTTTCAATTGATGTTAATAAAAAACAAAAAAAACATTTACACAAAAATGTAGATGTGAAGGGCATCAGCAGGCCTGCTGTGTAGCGCTTCCTTTGGCCTTTTCTCAATTCACAAGAATGCCAATATGGACTAGTGTTCTCGCCAAGTATGTTCTTGAGAAGAACCCAGGAAAGTGTGGACTCGGGGAGAACGGCAGCACGCAGCATAAATATGGGTCAGTTGGAACCGAAGCACATTCGTAATGTCACCACATGCTCGGCTCGTCTGAAGCTGCTTTTCACCTCCTGTTATTAATAGTCTCTTACATTCTTACTTTTTTAGTGGGGGAATAATAATTAACACAGTCAAATAAACACATAAAATTAACATTTTGCCAAATAAAAAAAAAAAACTGTCCATCAGAGCCAGCAGTGCTTCACACACGGCTATACCGAGTGCGCTGCTGCAGACGGGCTGCGGTTAGCCTCAGAGGTCCGCTGGTTGCCACGGTCCTCTCAGCATCAGAACTTTATTTTAATTATACACTAAATTAGTAATTGGGAAATATAGACGCCTAAAGGTATAATGTTCTCGCCTCAAAATATCTTAAAACGTACTTTTATAGAACAACAGCAACAGAAAAGAGAACTTTTAACTTAATACTCTGAGCTCTGTGAGCGCTCCCCTTCGAAGCTGCTGCTGCCGCAGTGCATGCTGGGACAGCTGTCAATCTCAAGATCAGACAAGTCTGCTCTGATGCATGCTGGGTAAAGAGGGAGGGGCGAGATAAACATGGGGGGACTGTGCACAAACAGCCACTGGCTAGTTATGTTGGGTGGATGTCCTAGTTGCTCACAGCGCCCTCTAGGGCAGCGGAGCACCACACTTTGAAAAGCCTTCTTCCATAAAATAATTTCTGAACACATTTTTTGATTAATCTGCATCTGGAATATTTTTCTTTTACTCCAGAGTAATTCTGCATAGCATGAAAAAAAATGAAAAGATTTTCACTCTGATTTCTAAAATGAACTCTGCTTAAAAATATTTGCAGGAGGTTTTTAAAGAAGTTCATTAGTTTTCATCAGTAACCTTTAGGCTGTAACAGCAGAAACATCTTAATCATTAAGTTTTGAAGAGCATCCCGCACCTTTTCTCCTCCTCACACCGGTGCTTGTGCTGCACTCCATCAGCAATAAAGCCAGCCTTTGACTCAATTATTTCCCCACATCTAATCTCCACTGTATGACTATTATTCATAGTCTCCTGTGGGGTGAAACGGTGCTAAAGTGCTGACCGGATCACGCTGCTCCGTCTGCTGCACGGCTGTCTGGGGAGCTCACACAGTCCCACAGATAGCATCGGTTTTAGATGCTCTCTGCTGCTCTGTTCTGGCTTTGTCCTTGTTCTTGTCTGTTTTATTGGGTTTATAAAAATCTTTCTGTTGGTGGACTTTTTCCTTTCTTTCTTTGCATCCTGTCTGAACCTCCATATGTCCTCCCTCTGGCTCTGATTTGCTGTACAGCAGAACTTGATGCTGAGGTGCTTCAAAGCGGAGGCCGCTGATTTGGCTCTCTGGTTTTGCTATGATGAAGACAGCAGGGTGTGGCTCAGCTGAAGCTTTTTTGGGTTATGCATAATTTATTAGAAGGAAAACTAAATGACACTTTTTAACGTAACTATTCTATAATTTAGTGGCAGATTTGATTTTTAATTATGCTGGAAAGCTTCCCTTGCACAGAGATAGAAATCATGCAATAAAGTGCCCAGCCTGTGATAGTAAATCATAATCACAGGGCCGTCTGCAGATAAAGGTGCCTTCTGATTGGAAAGATCTTATAAAACTTGTGAGGGGGATTCTTTGGACGCCTGAGAGTGTCGTTATCCACAGAATCCACGTGATCTTTGTGGGGGTCATTATCTAGCTGCGAGGGAACACGCCATCATAAAAATGGATAAGCGAATAATATGAAGCGGGGGAGCAGGAACAGCCGTTAAACTGCTTCACTGTGTGTTTTAAAGGTTTGGATGGAACGTGGCTACAAGTTGATGAGTTATTAACTCGCAGAAGGACAGTTCAGTGTCTGCAGAGGTCTGTGCAGCGACATTAAAAGTCTCTTTAAAAGCGTGTGTCCGCTCTGCTGTGGGGGATTTAATAGACGTGTGATTTTTGGCCTGGCAGGAAACCAGCAGGCAAACTGGGAAGGTTTGATTTACACTGGACTTTTCCTCCAGATGTCTGACCCAAACCATTAATTAGAGAGTTAAATGTTGAGCAGCTGACAGTTAAAGGACAAGAAGAGTATAAAATGGATCAGAAAGAACTGGATCGACTGGGTTTTGCTCTGAGTTGATCTCCGATGTGGGAAGAACGGAAGAGATTGTTTCCATCGCTTGCATTTAAAAGAAATTAAACAAGATGTGAGAAGTTTACAAAATATTATGTAGTACCTTCTTCTGTCTGAAGATGCTCCTCTCTTCTTATTTTTTTCCCTGCCAAGCAGACAGACTTACCTTAAATTGGTGCAACATCAAATAATGCGATCGTAACTTGCCTCTACTTGCACAAGGTTTTCATTCCTGATTTACAAAAAGAGAGAAGAGGTGGATATAAAACCCCAAACACAGTTCATTTGGTTCTTATCACTTTGTTTGGACAGTCATCACCAACCAAGACATAGAAATTTATTTGATGGTTTAGATTTCAGTCTTTTAGCCTTAGAATTGACTTTTTGGTGCAAAGCTGTTGGCTTACAGCTGCTAGGTTGTTCTATTTTCGGTGGGTTTCATTTCTAAAGAGCTTTAGAAATCCTCCAGAACCCTTGATCCAACTTCACAGAAATGAAAATATAAAATGAGAAACTCTCTAGACCTCTGCACAGACTTATAAAATGTAATCCAACACAAGAGATTTACCTTAGTCACCCAGAGGCTCTGTGTTGATTTTTTTTGTTTGACTTTGTTTTCACATGTTTTTACTTTTGATATTGATCAATAGATAAAGTATATTTTATATATTCTGGTCCAAAATCAAGACAAATTAAAATTCTGAAGCTCATTTAAAACATGAGACCAAAAAACTGCACAGTTGAAAATCATCTGGAGGCTAATTGGGTGAAATAAATGTAAACCTGACCTTTAATATTCTATGTCACACTTTGATTTTAAAGTTACCCACCAAAACTTTGGGTTCAGATCGACCAACAAACTGCAGATTCATTTAGAACATTTTAAGGAATCTAGAAAATGTTGGTTGAACTGAACTTGTGGTCCCTAACCTTATTATGCTAAGATCTGAAGTTGGTATTTCTTGGATAAGATTTATTCCTCCAACAGATTTTAAGCAAGAAATATCACTTTTAGAATCTGCAGAAGTAAGCATCCTAAAACAGAGCTATTTTATTTTAAGCAGGATGGGGAAAAAAGCAGTAAAATTGCCCTTTTTTCTTTACTTCAGATGCTCCAACCTTGTTTTATTTAAAAGTATATAGAAATCTACTGATAATAGGAAACAATGGTTGTTTAAGCAGCAGAAGATTCATATAATCTGATGTCCAGAATATTGAAGGAAAAACTGTAAAGATTGTGAAAACCATGTTTCTCACTAAAGTTTGCTTCATTCTGTTCCCCTTCAGCTACCTGGAAGACGCAGTGATGAACTTGGACCACAGAGACCCTCTGACCAAAGACCACATGTCCTCTGTGCTGTCCCAGGTCCGACCAAAGCTCATGGCCTTCCTGCAGCAGGACCCTCACGGCCCGCTCAGCAAGAGGGCGCGGCGCCTGCTGATGATGCTGCAGGGACTCGTCAACCACTAGTCCTGGAGCAGGAGTCTCTTTGACCCCTCCCCCCTCTCATCATCTCTCATTTTGGTTTTGGTTTTTAAAGGCAGAAGCTTCAGGAAACGCATTGTTCTGCTTCTGAGACAGAACCCCATCTCTGTCTCCTCAGTGCCGCATCACTTCCTGGTCTTTAGGTTACTGTAATTTCATTTTTTTTCCTTTATGTGGGAGGATAATGATGACAGAAGGATTGTCTAACCTCACTGTTGACCTTCTGGTCTTCTCTGACACTTGGAGCCGTCTGCTGACCCGAGGAATTCGTTGGAACCGTCACCTTCAACCAGGGATGCAGACAGAGCGTTGCCAAACGCGCAGCCTGAAGAAAAGACGTCTGGCCTGAAAATGTAGCCTTAATAGCAAACAGCTGGCCTTTTTTTGTGTGTTTTTTTTCTGACGGGGAATTCATCGGCTCATTCTGCTTTCAGTTCAAGCCGATCAGGGCAACCAGAAGTATGTGCGATCCCAGCGGCATTTTGTGTCTCCTCTTGGTTATTTCTTAATGGGCTGGAGGTGACATTCATGCCCCGCCGAGTCTTTGACAAGAGAATCTGATGATATTCATTAAGATAATTTCATTTTTTCAGGATTTGTTCCATATAAAGGCTTGGAGGGGGAGCAGAATAGGTCCCAGGTGATAAATGAATGCAGAGGTATCAGTTTTGATGTGATAAAGCATTTTTTGTTTAAAATCAGACATTTTGAGAGTTGAGCAACACAAAAGTTTGCCGTCCAAAACTTGTTTTGTTCGATATGTTAGCCTCTTTTTATAAAGAGCATTTAGTATTTGTAAGCCATGTATACTTGCTTTAGCTCAATATAAAAAATAAAAAAAAAATACTGATGTTATTTTATCAGGATGTTTGTGACCTGAATGTGCAGTTACTCCTCTTTAGGCTCTAGGAGGCAGCACTCTCTCGGATTCTGTTTTTCCATGTTTAGGATTTTAAAAAGTCGCTTCTTCTTTACTAAACCAAGATTTTTCCCGCGGTTAGGTTGCGAACGCCTACTTTGTTGAAATGTTGGCGCTCATTCACTCGACCATTAAACTTACAGGGTAGATTTACGTTGTTGCTGATTGTTAAACAAAATAATCTCTGGTTGTTAAGAATCTGTTAGACTCGTCTATAAAGTGCCTTACTTTATTTTATCAGTTCCTGACATGTAAGGTTAAGCGGTCACAGCAGCTGTGTTTTGGTTTCAGACTACGGACCCACACAGGAGAATCTGTATGTTTGGTTGGGATCCAGATGGGAGCGCTCATTTCAGGCCTGGAGGAAGATAGAAGCTGTTTATTTTCTTGACTACTAGCTGCTGTACAGATGCTAAGGTTTCCTCCTCTCTCTTCATTGTTTGTTTCGTTTGACCCACATGGTTCTGTTTGTGCTGTTTATAGTTTGTTTTACCCCTTAAACATTTTGGAATAAAGGAAAAAAAAAAAAAATTATTTACTTTGTATCTTTTTTTTTTTGTATCAGGTTTCTTTTTATCTGCTGGATCTGATTGAACTTTTAACTTTTGTATGTATTGAGTATTTAAAACTTTAAAAAGCATTTCTAGTTTATTCCCACTAATTTATAACACATTTAAAGCCTTTTTGATTTTGCCTACAATCTTATTTTGACACAATTCCAAAGTACTGATCCTAAATGGAAATGAAATGTAACTGGTAGGTTTTGTTTTATTACCAGCTGAAGGCAGGACAGATCTGCAGCAGTTTATTGCAGCATCGCTCCAGATGCCTCTGACTAAAGACACTGTTGTTTTTCGACTGTCTGACGAAGAGGATCAACGTTCTTCACTTTAATGAAGAATTCTTCTTTGTGAGATAATCTCCAGAGGTTCTAGATGAGTTCCTAGCTGATGTTTTTACCTCAGCAGATGACAGAAAGATTGCACTCTCCAAAGAGACTGATAGAAGTTGTCCCTACCAACAATAACATGTGAATAACATGTTTATAATTTACTATACAGCATTGTTGCAGCAGTAGAGGAGTTCTGGATGGAGAATATTGACAGACGAAAACAGATTTTATCTAAAATGCAACATTTTTATTTCTTTTTTTTTTTTACAATTTTGGTATAATTGCTGCTCTAAGCAGGTCGCTCTTTGAGCTAAAGACATGTTTTACAGTCTCTATACTCCAGTTAATGATTGATTACTAAATTTGTTGACATTATTTCAATAATTGATTAATCCGATGAATTGTTTCAGCCCTAAATAAAATACATGAAATGTGTTAAACAGATTAACTACATCCTAGATGTACAACTTGTAGAGTGAGGTTAATATATTAAATGCTCAGTGTCGGTTCTTCTTCTAGTTCCAGGGCACATGAACGTACAATACATTATTTGGTGCCGCTTGAATCTATTATTTCACTTTATTTCATGATACAAAGAGAACATTTAAAAGATAAGAGTGGGTTTTACCTCTGTTAACCTCTGCACAATTCTATATCTTCAAAAAAAGTATAAATCCACATATAACAGGCACATTTAGACTATATTCTGTTAAATAGGCACAGATTTATCTACTGTCTTGGTTGTTGGTAATTTCAAATGCAAACCTTTTCAAAGTGGAAAAAAGTCCTCATTTATAAGAGCCAGTTAAGCTTCAGTCATTGATAAACAGCATCTAGTGTGTGTAGTGCATATAACATTTGTATAAATGTAGCAAGAAATGTTGCTTTTCTCTTTAAACGAAATACACCCTAATTTTCCCGTCAAGCATTAAAAACAAGCATGCATATTTTTGCATAGGACCAATGACATCAGACCAATAGTGTCCCTACCAAAGTTGAAATCAAACCTATGCCCTTACCCATCAGTCGGGGCATCTATCTTTCTGACAAGATGAGATGGAAAAATTCAGTAAATGTCCGTCAGCTGGAATGATTAATCCAGCATTTAGCCCATTGTGCAGCCTTCACGCATTAACAAAAGGCTTTCCTGCATGAATGAGGCCAAACCTTTGCCACTGTCAGAAATGTGGATTACAAACTTGCATTTGCATGTTGGTCTAAGGTTCATTTCCTTGGATAGGTTTTAATTTTGGTGAAATCCTCAACAACTGTAAAGCTGATCTGTCAAAGTGTGGACAACTTAAGAAAATCTGAAGCATTGTTGCTTTGTGACGAAACTGCATGTGCAATGAAAGATTTTTGGATTCAGCTCCAGAGAATAAACTGCTACAGAAGTTGCCACCAGTGCAGAGTGTGCACAGCATTGGCAGCAGATGGGCCTGATCATCTCACCCTTTCATTACAAGTAAACAAGAGCATGCATGTTCGCCTTTTTTATACCTCCAATTCTTTTTATAAGTTTCACAGTTGAACACTTTTAGTATAAAAGCGGCACACCCTTTCATGTATGCGGCCCCTGGTCTCTAGCTGTGAGATGTGAGGTGGCCCCTGCTTTAGGTGGTTGAGCTAAAAGAATTTCTGGGATGCATTTTTTTCTCCACGCCAAACTATTTTAATGGTGAAAAATGATTGTTAATATGACAGCACAGCCACAGGGGCGGAGCTAGATGGGGGGCCAGGCGTGGCCATGGCCACCCTTAGCCAATCATTTGCCAGCCCTACAATTTTCCCCCTGTAATTTTTCATATATTAACAATAACTTGACAACAAAAACACTGCGGTTAATTATGCACGTCAATATACTAACATTAAAGACGATAAGTATGGAATTTATTCACTCTTCAGAACTAGATTTTGTTTTATATGGGGTAAAGAGAAAAGGATGTGTCTCTGCAAGTCATCTTCAGTGAAATCATAGATAAATAACTATTTTAATAAAGACTTGTTAAATAATCAATTTATGTAGATATTAGTACTTGTAAATATTAATTTTCTGCAGAGTCATTATTGATAAAAGTAAGGCAAGGCAAATTTATTTGTATTGCACAATTCAGTACAAGACAATGCAAAGTGCTTTACATGATTTACATATGTGTTTGTGTGGCTAATATGTTTGTGGTGTTTGTTTTTCCCACTGGGCCAAGGCCTGATCCAAGATGAAACATCATCATCAAGCAGTTCTACCCAACTTATGTCAATGATTGTGAAACTAACTTTACGCTTCTTTGGATTTGGATATCATGCTCTGTTTTTGACGAGCTGGCAAAAATGCCAAATAACCACCACCAAAGCTAAACATCATGCAAGCAGGAAGAATGGATGGTTATGGATACTTCTGCTTCTTCTACTCTTGAGCGGGGACAAACAACTAAATCCAGGTCCCACAAATAATATCAACAAAAGTAACCCTAACCCTAACAAATATTATTCAGAGATTTAGTTGTGCTATAAAAAACAATAGAAAACAAACTAGTCTACCATGGGTAAACCATGCTATTATTCAACTTATGAAAAAGCAAGATCTTGCTCTGAAAATTTCACTAAAAACTAAATTTCAAACAGACACACTTGTCTTTAAATTACTACGAAATAAAGTTGTTAAAGCTACAGTGTGTAATAATTAGAGGGATATACAGTCAGAAAAGTAATATATTATACATAACTATGTTATTTATCATCATCTACGAGCTCAGCCTCTTAACCTTAATATTTGCTTTGCCTTAGAATTCGTTATTTATAATTACATAGGAGCGGGTCTCGCAGCCATGGAGGCAGACATCTTTGTGCTACGGCAGCGCAGAGCCAACAAACTAGCGATTGCGAGATCGCCCATTACGCTCGAAAGTAACTACGGCAAGTTGAGAGAGATGAACTGAGACGGTACTGAAATCTATACCCTACACAGACTAATTAAATACTATCTGTAAAATTATCTATGTAAACAAACCTCATCACTTGAGAAGGTAGGTGATGCGGACGTCGTGGAAGACATTTTTTCCCGTAACGCTCGCCGTACTTTTGGGGGGGAGAAGCGGTGGGGGGGAGATGTTCATGTTGCTGCGGTCTGCAGTCTGGACATTAGATGTCGCTGAAAATTACAAACTGTAGCTTTAATGAAATAAGAAAGTCAAGTACCACATATTTTATGCAATTGTTTGCTGAATCAAGTGGAAATAGCTCTGAAATATGGAAGCAGATTAACAAGTTGACCAATCGCAAGTGCAATTTAAGAAAATGTGTAACAAAGCTCAATATAAATGGAATGGTTAGCAATGACTCTGGCAAAATTGCAAATGAATTCAATTCATATTTTATTAATTCAGTAGAGCAACTTGCTGAAAATTTCAATCCAGTTTTGGTTCCATGTAATGTTGCTGAAGACTCAGCCTCACCTTTTCACATTAAACAGGTTGACCAAAGTGAAATAAGGACAATTGTCAATCAATTAAATTCATCCAAAGCAAAAGATATATTTGGTTTAGATACATTTTTAATCAAAAAGTATAGTGCAGATCTAGTAAAACCAATATCTCATCTAGTGAACTGGTCAATTAAAAAATGTGAATTTCCACAAGGGTTTAAAACAGCTGTTGTGACTCCAATTTTTAAGTCTGGATCAGCTGATGCGGTCTGTAATTATCGACCCATTGCAATTGTACCTGTCATTTCTAAGGTGCTAAAGAAGCTAGTTGCTGAACAATTAATGGCCTATTTAGAGGAGAAAAGAATACTTAACCCTAAACAATTTGGATTTAGACCAAGGTATTCCACTGAAATGGCCGTATGCCATTTAACGGAATACATAAAAAGTAGTTTGGATGGAGGAAAATGTGTTGGGGCAGTATTTCTAGATTTTACAAAAGCGTTCGATACTGTAAATCACACAGTTCTGCTAAGGAAACTGGAACAACTAACCAAACAAACCTTAAGCTGGTTCAAATCTTATTTTGAGCAACGACATCAGTGCGTCAAAATTAATGGCGTCAAATCTGGGATCCAAAAATGTAATGTGGGTGTACCACAGGGGTCCATTTTGGACCCATTACTTTTCTGTTTGTACATAAATGATATCCCAAACATCTGCAAAGATGC